AATTTGCAATTTGCAGTATTTCTACTTAGTTCCACTAAGAAACTACTAATAGTAGTTTCTTAATGAACATATTTCCCTTTCAGAATATTTTCTTACATAAATATGTTTTTTACATTTAAAATAGATTTTACAAACTACAAAACAAAGAAGTTGTAAATCGTATTGTGAGTGGCACTGGCTTCTGCTTTGGAAAACATCCTTTTAGACCCTTTTCTATACATATATTCTTCAGGATTGTGTGGAAGCATGAAGAGGCTTCCTGCAACTGCACAAAAAGATACATTGCCCAGTAGGGCACAGTTTATAGGATGTCTCACAGTTGGCTTTCCATTGATTAATATTCTTGGAAGATCATTATCAATGAATTTATGTATGCATAATTTAAAAAGGTAGATGGTATTATAATTAATCTGATACTACCCACCATTAGACATTTAAGATTTTAAAGATAGTTTTCCCTCTAATCATCACTGTATTAACTATACTGTGTAGTTCTCATTGAGTGAGATGTTGATGTCTTAGGAGGCTGGGTGAAGGGTACAAGAAAGTTCTCTGTAATATTTTTTAACTTTTGTCCTTTGTAAGGCCCAAACTAATTTCAAAATGAAATAAAAAAAGAAACAAGACTAGTTTTTAAAAAAGACTTTTGAACCATATTTTATAGCATTAACTTATTAACATTACTATGAGATATACCTTGGTCTTTTTTTCTGTCACCTCAACTTTCTCAGAAGTTTAAAATGTTTGCCTTCAGAATCTCTTCATTATTAGCTTATACTAAAGAATAATCATAATTTGACAAGCAGAAGACCCTTCTTTTGGCCACTGCCCTGTCATGTAAATAGAAGTCGTCTTGTCTCTGCAGTGTGCATTGCCTCAGGAACAAAGGTGGCTTTGTTTAATCGACTGCGATCTCAGACAGTTAGTACCAGATACCTACATGTAGAAGGAGGCAATTTCCATGCCAGTTCACAGCAGTGGGGAGCATTCTACATTCATCTCTGTGAGTATAAAAAGTCTGCATTTGTTTTTAGTGTGAAAATGATCAATTCTCTTTTGGGGGACAATAAAATATGCAAATGCATTGTTTTGTTGTTTTCCTAAGTAGATACCAAATTCTAAAAGGTAATAATTGGATCTGTTTTTGCGCCCGCTGCAGTGGATGACGATGAATCAGAAGGAGAGGAGTTCACTGTCCGAGATGGCTACATCCACTATGGACAGACAGTGAAACTCGTGTGCTCAGTCACTGGCATGGCACTCCCTAGATTGGTAAGACTTTGTGTTTGCTTAATGACTGTGAGGTAAAAAAACTAGTTCTTAAAACAGGAAAGATGTAAAATTGTAGTTCAGTTTAAATGCTTTTTAATATAAAAAGGTAATATCCCTATTACCTTATTAGCCCTAATAACTGTAGCCTCATTTCACAGGTGCTTTTAGAGAATTAGCTTATTTTTATAAGTACATTGTTGATGATAGTGTATTACACTATTTTTAACATTTTGGTGCCTGTTTCCTTTTTGATTGTATATCCAAACATATTCAATAGAGGGCAATGTAACTTACAGTATATATTTTTTTCTTACTAATGCAGATACACTGTATTCATTTTTTGTGCTACCTGTTTGGTCCTGAATATAGGGCTGAGTTTTCAGAAACCTAAAAATATGAGCATAATTGTTATTAGGTTACGTGAACAATAAAAATTTGCTAAAGTAAAGCTGATGTTTTTTACGTTGGGAACAGTGCATAGGCTTTCTGTTCATTAGGTCTTGAAACGTTTTGACCTGATTTCCCCTTAAGTTGAAAAACTCAAATTGTGCTTTTCATAGTGGTTAGCTGATTATCATTATGGGATTAGATATCATAAGTGGAAATGTTGACTAAGTGGTTTAATATATGTGAGTTGCATGCGGAGCATAGGGCAGAGCTTGAGAGACTTAATTTGGGGAGGGGAGCAACTCACAAATAGTGCATAGATGATGGAGTGGGGAGAAGAGGTCTGGGGGCTTAACTCTGGGCACTGTAAAGGTCTGTTAGAGCAGAGTAGTGCCAGAAAGGAACTGTCAGTGTTAGATGCTTTGTCAGAGGCTTTGGAAACTATAAAGTGCTGTAAGAAAGAAATGCTGGGAGGGTCATCTGTCTGGAAGTTCTCAGTGACCTTGGAAATAGTTACAATGGAGTCTTTGAGACAAAAGGTTGGAGAGGCTGCTGGAGGCAGGGCTGTGAGGAGAGACCATTGTTCTCATGGGGTGCTGAGAAACAAGGTTAGAGGGAGGAATGGGTATGTTGTAGTCAGGGAAAGGTTCACCTGTGACTTTAGGTACTCTGTTGGAATGAGCAGTAAAGGGGGACTGGGAACAGCAGCAGTTCTGCTCTGGGAAGCTTAGTAACTCTCCTGAGTGTTAGCTGTCGCCTAAAGTTTGTTAGCACTATCTTTCAGATACCCACATGGCTTCTGTGGAATATTTGGACTGCAAGACTCTAGAGTATAATGGAAGGGTGGGCAGGTAGCCCAACCTGGGCTCCTACTCTGGTCCTTCAGCTACTGCATGTGAATTTTGAGGAATTTGCCACCTCTGAGCCTTTTTTTTTTTTTTTTCAGGAGAGGGTCTTTTTGAGACAGGGTCTCTGTGTATTCCCAGCTAGCCTGGAACTTGCTTTGTAGACCAGGCTGACCTCAATCTCAGAGAGATCCATCTACCTCTGCCTCCCAAGTTGTGGGATCAAAGTTGTATGTGACCATATCCAGCTTCAGCACTTATTTTCAATTTATTTGTTTTCAGTTATGTAATTTTAGTTATATTAATAATTGGATACCAACTGTGAAGTGTCTGTTCTGACTCTTAGAGCCTTCTGTGATATGACTGCAGAGACTTCTTGTAATATTTGATTTGTGTATTATGGAAAAGATCACCAGAAGATGGGCTGTAGGTCAGCAGCATTCATAGCACCCAGGAATTTTTTAGGAATTTAGAATGTCAGACCCCAGATGAACTGCTGGGTCAGAGCCAGTATTTTTAACAAGAACTCCAGACAGTTTATATGTACACTGATGTTTGAAAAGCTTTGATCTAGAAAACAAGCTCCTGCTTGCCCTATTTTTAATCTTTTCTTTGAGGGGGTAATTCCCACATCCCTATAGACTTTATAAAATCTAAAATGATGTTTTTATTCCTAACCTTATTGTTTGTAAATGGTTTTCCATAGGTAGGTATAGAACAAGTGACTGATATACTGCTCCATGGTGTATACTGTGTACCATGACAGTATACAAAATAAAACAGTGTGGATCACTTTTTTTTAATTGTTGAAATACAGATAATTAGGAAAGTTGATAAGCAGACGGCATTACTGGATGCAGACGATCCTGTATCACAACTCCACAAATGTGCATTTTACCTTAAGGATACAGAAAGAATGTACTTGTGCCTTTCTCAAGAAAGAATAATACAATTTCAGGTATGTTGTAAGATTACTGGTGAAATCTTAACTAGGTCTGGGCTCAGTGATGAGTGCTTGCTTGTGAGCATGTGGCGGGGCCCTGCGCTTAGTCCCCACCATTGCAAAAACATAGTAAATAAATAAAATGCCCTGAAAAACTATTGGACTAGCACTTTACCGAGACATGCAAGTCTCATTTGCTGTTAATTATGTCCACATATGTGAGGGTAGGTTCATGTTATCTTAGTTCCAGTAGTCCCTAATACACTATCCTCAGTGGCAGACAGAGTTCTCAGAATGTCTTAACAATAGAGGTCTGGTATTCAGTAAATTATGTGCTTACATTGTATAGAAAACATATTCAGCAAGAGGGTTCAAATCCTCAACAGCTTACTCTGCAGTTTCCCAAGATAGTAACCATGATGTGATCTAAACAGTGATGCTCAACTACATTTACCAAGAAGATGTTGAAGAGGATGGGTAGATGCTATAAAAGGATAGTTGTGGTTTTGCACAAACTCCTTCATGAACTACCATTGCAAGGGGGTGGCCACCTACCACACCAGTGGTGTACTGGGTCTCAGGTCAGGGTCAGGGCTGCCAGTTCAGATCTTGATTTCTCCCTGCTGGAAGTGTGGAAGCCTCTTGCTATTCTGTAAGCTCAAGGATCTACAATTTCTTAGGGGGCTTGCTTGCATTTCACATCCCAGGTGAATAAAATCTGTAAAGAAATTATCCAGTAGTGGTACACTATTAGGGATCATTGAGAGGTATGATTAGTTATGTAACATCACCGATGCATTTGTGTCATAACAAAAACCACTATTTCTGGGACTTGTTATAGGTGTTATGTTTAGATTTACCTAAGGAATAAGTAAGTGCTTTAGGAACATCACATTTTACCAAGTAAGCTCTCTCCTTGTTAAGTCTGTGAATGTTATTTGGTAAAGTCTCTTATACTGCAATACGTATTAAACTCAGTATATGAACGTTCTTTTTTCATAAGGCCACTCCATGTCCAAAAGAACCAAATAAAGAGATGATAAATGATGGAGCTTCCTGGACAATCATTAGCACAGATAAGGCAGAGTATACATTTTACGAGGGAATGGGCCCTGTCCTTGCCCCAGTCACCCCCGTACCTGTCGTAGAAAGTCTTCAGGTGAGACCACTAGTCACAAGGTGGCTTTTAGCCCTTTACAACTTTTCTCAGCTGTGATTTGCTATGAAGTTACTTCACTGTAATAATTTTTCTTTCCTGTAAATGTTATGATATGGGATTTTCTTACATGGCCTATTTTGATAGAAAATGAAAACCAAGTTTAAATCAGTTAAATGTTAATCTTAAAATAGCTTTGTAATCGTGTCATTTAAAAGGAACATTTTATGAATGTGAATTTTTATAAACCTTCATGAGAGTGAAAGCTGAGAGAGCTAAGTTGTATTCTTGAATGAAAACTGAGCGGTTGTTTTAGTGTTGTCATTTTCTGTGAATTGCAGTTGAATGGCGGCGGGGACGTAGCGATGCTTGAACTTACAGGACAGAACTTCACTCCAAATTTACGAGTATGGTTTGGGGATGTAGAAGCTGAAACAATGTACAGGTACTGGGTAAAGTCTTCTACGTCACCCAGGGTTTGGGAGGGTTATGGGCACAGAAAACTCTTTCCTGGCATCTACTAATGTATTAAAACAGCCTTTTGATAAGTCTCATTGCAAACTGTGCTTTGGTTTTGAAAGTGCTTTTTATTTTTCCTCCTCAGATGTGGAGAGAGTATGCTTTGTGTGGTCCCGGACATTTCTGCATTCCGAGAAGGCTGGAGATGGGTCCGGCAACCAGTCCAGGTTCCAGTAACTTTGGTTCGTAATGATGGAATCATTTATTCTACCAGCCTTACCTTTACCTACACACCAGAACCAGGGCCGCGGCCACATTGCAGCGCAGCAGGGGCTATCCTCCGCGCCAACTCAAGCCAAGTGCCCCCCAATGAATCGAACACAAACAGCGAGGGAAGTTACACAAATGCCAGCACAAATTCCACCAGTGTCACATCATCCACAGCAACCGTGGTGTCCTAACTACCGTCTTTTTGCTGGGACTTAAACTGACTTGAATGTGGCAAAAAGTTGACAAAAAGAAGGCAAGGAGAAAAATGAACAATCTTTTGTGGTTTCTTGGGAAAATTTTTCATACCAGGTGATAAATATTCAAAAACCCCGTTGCCTGCAAGTGCTGGTGTGAGATGCAGAAGCCACAGTGAAACAAAACATCAAGCTGTTGGAAATCAAGGTTTTCAGCTGGTTTTTTTGTTTGGTTGATTTTTGTTTGGTTTTGTTTAAATGGTCAAGAATTAGATACGTGGCTGGAATAAGGGTTAAGCAAGCTAGAAGACACAAATCTAACATAGTTTTTATGGACCAAGGGACTTGAATAAGCTTTAGTGAAAGGTACATTTTCACCATACCTTTTTTATATCACAGTATGTAGTCCACCTTGTTACCAAATAGGTTGTTCTCCCCACCCCGAGCTTTGGCTCTCAAGTCCATTCAGTTCCGGCCTGGCCTTGCTTGTTTGATCTGAGTGCCGTACACTTCCAGGTTCTTTTGGTCTAAGGCTGGAACTTTCTTTTTAAGCTGAAGTCTTATGACTTTTCATAAGTTAGAATTGTTTTGATTTCAGCAAGTCAAATCTTGTAAAGGCCTGCATTTTTTTTTTTTTTAAGATTATATGAAGTCTGTGCAAAAGCTTTAAAGAAAATGCCTCTGCCTTGCCTGCAATACATGCAATGTATGTACCTTAGTCTCTGTTCTCAGATACTGTTGGTAGTTATTTCTGTTTTCCTTTTTTGAAAAAAAAAAGTGTATTTATAGTGTGGTAATCTAAAAGGTTCTAAATACATGGAGCTCAGTGTGGCCATTTAGTCATTTATGAGTTAATGGCAGAACATGGTAGTTTTTGAAGAGTTTGTTCCTCTTTTCATGTCTTGTCAGTGCATCTGTGTTCCAGACTTTGTTCAGGGTTCCCTCCCCATGAATCTTGTACATAACTTATATTATGTGTAAGTTAAACATTTTATTTTGAACTTGGAATGTTCCCAGTGATACATTCAGCAGGGTGTTTTCTACCTTGTTGGAAAATGACAAAAAAAAAAAAAAAAGAAACAATCATGAGAATTATTTGCTACCGATATGGTGCCCTTATGGTAAAATGAGGAAAGTCTCAGTAAAGTGATTTATTGTTTGTTTGTTTTTTTTTGTAACTTAGGCCAGAACATCATTATAATTCTAAACTTAAGATCATAAGATGGCTTTTATTAGATGATCATCAGCTAAATCAAATGAACTAAATAAAATAGCTAGAAGACAGTACCTTAGAAACAGTTGTAAGTTTATAAAAATGCAAATGTAATTTATGTTTCCATTTTCCTTGCCATTTGTTTGTTGTTTGTTTGTCTTTCTTCCCCAGTACAAATGTTCTGTCCAAAAATTAATTTTCCTTTCAGTTAAGATATGGTTGTATTCAGGGTTGTGTGCCAGCCTTGAGTGCTAATCTTGCCATTTTTATATTACTTCCATTCCTGCACTTTGGTAATGCCTTTGTTCAGTTTCTTAGAATTATAGCGGACTTGTTGGGCTACACCTAGTACAGGAACCCTATGTGTAATGTTAAAAGACACAGTCTAGTAGCAATCGTCCTCCTTAGAGTAAAACTACCTCTAGATTGTGGTAAGCTTTTACTGTCCCATAAAACAGGAGCCACAAGTACCTTATGAATGCAAACTGTAACTTCTACGCATTTTCAGTGTCTTTTTGTTACCCTGGATGTTTTGAAAGTTTCCATTTAGACTTCTTAAAAATCGTTGGTTAAGAACATCGTTTTTCCTGCTTTGCTCTTTTTGTCATTCACTCTTTCACTTTAGACTATGCCACTGCAAATGCCACTCCTGACATCTTTAAATTGCCTTCTTCTTGGTTTTCAAGAGAATGACTTCTATTTAAGTATGCAGTGGTTAATGCTAGTGGCAGCGGTTTTCTCTTACTGTGAGCCTTTTGAATCCTCCACTGCACTGTACTAGCTGTTCCAGCCTGCTCCCTTCAGTCTGCTCCTGCCTCACACCCTCAGTGTGTTTGGTCAAGGGCGGAACTCACTGTGGCCTTATCTGTCCTCCTTGTAACTGTTCCCTCTTTCTCCTCACAGACTTCTTTCTGAGTAGTGTTTACGCTGTTGAGTCATGGAAGTGGTTAGCACACAGCGCTTTCTGTTCAGAGCCTGGAAAGGTTTTCAGTGCATTTTTGCTTTTCCTGGGCCACAGTTTCCTCCACTTCCTAGATTTGGTATTTAGTTCAGAAGTCTTATTAAATCAACCAGTAGCAAATGAGATGCTTTTGAAGAACAAACTCTTCCTTACCCAACTTTGTAGCTTAAAATAAGTTTTCAAGTTCATGGCTTTACTAAAATGAACTATGGCTTTTTAAATGTTTATGTATATTATTTCAGTTCATTTGTTTATTTTAATAAGACCGTTAAAATAATTAGACTGTAAATCATTTTCCTGTTTTGGGGTTGTTTTGTTTTGTTTTGTTTTTAAATGAAGTCAAGAATGTACCAACATGGCGTCCTCCCCACTGGCTTTTTGCTGGTTTGTACCACAGACTAGAATGACATCATAGGGTTTTTTTTCTCTGTTGTTTTCTGGTAGTTCTCAGCTGCTTTTTTTTTTTTTTTTAAAGTTTTGTGTGTTTGTGTGTGTGTTTGTGTATTTGTGTATCACTTTCAGTCTAGGGTTTCTAGGAGTCTTGTCCCTCAGTTACAGCGGATATTTCCTCCTGGATTATGGCATTAGAGATGCTGGCTATTTACCCTCATAAAGATTCTTAGAATGGTGAATTATTCAGTGGAAGTATAGTATGTGGATATATATACATATATATATGTATATATAAATCTTTTTTAGAATGATTCTATGCAGCTTCTCAGAATAAGCATAAATGCAGATCCCATGACACCAGTATGTTTTACGTTTCATTGAATTTGTCATGGAGACTGGGAAGGCAGGCTGGAAACTGAAAATGTAGAATGCCCTTTGTGGTGTGAATGCTCTTCGAGTGACACTGAGTGTGATACAGACCTTGCTGCTGACCTCTTTTAAACTGTGGCAGCTAAAGGCTTCCTAGTATAGAGTTCATCAGTGAGATCACCTGTCACCTTACTGCACAGACATGTTTGCCGTCCTCTTAACTAGTTACAGTTTTCTATCTTTTTGTGTTTGTTGCTGGGGGTCAAATCCAGGCCTCAAGCATATTTGCTAGGTTTTGTTTGTGTGTTTTGTTTTGTTTCGGTTTTTTCCCTGAGACAAGGATCTCGCCATATAGTCCAGGGTATCCTTGAATTCAGAATTGCAATCCTCCTGCCTCAGCTCCCCTAGTGCTGGGATTGTAGGTATGGGCCAGGATGCCCAGCACTGCTTTGGTTTTTAATGGAACTGGTACATCTGTCTACTCACAGAAAATTCCCAATGCCGTATTTAATAACTAACCTAGATAGCTACTTGCGTTAATCAGAAGAAAATCCATTCAGGAGGTCCTTTTTGAAACAAAATGCTATTCGATTATTAACCAAGCTAACATACATACCTTGTTTTCAAAAGCATCTGTGTTTCTGATGCGTACTGAACAAATGTGTGATTTCTTTCCTGTACCAGACTTTTGACTTCGTTTTCAAGCACTGTAATTTGGGATGGATGGTTAGAAACAATAATATATTAGGGTTTCTATTTAACCCTTTCAGGACTGAACTGTATCTCCTGTTATTAATTTTCCCTGTATTGTGATAATTGTTTGCCAGCATTCAGTACTGTGTTGGTCCTGACGTAGGTTTATATAAAAGCTCATCTTTAGCTTATTTCTCGTACCTTGCAGCATGCTCTACACATTCAGTCCTTAAGGGGCTTACTTTGCAAACTGTGCGCCTGTAAGGTTTATTAGCAATAAGATAGAAAATTGAGCAAGTTTATACCATAATTTTGTAGGAAAAAAAATCTGCTCAATTCCATATTTCATCCATGAAAAGTCTGCAATGTGGGCAGTTTCAAGGACTAAATAAAAGGAAATGTAAACCACTGTAAACGCCTCTGTTGGGTGTGCCTGATGCATGTGTCTTCATCTTTGATTTTGGAACACTTCATAAAGATAAAATTAAATTCTGTATGACAGTCTGTGTACTTACAATCTTACCTTGTCTTTCACATTCATATTGAAGTGATAATTGTGCTAAATTAATTTCCTTTTTAGTGCTTTTAATGATTTTTTTTCTTTTCCTGTGTCAATGGAGAATTGGGGTTTGTTGCTCAAAGGGCGCGTCTCCCAAACCAGTCTAAACAAAATCGGACGCTGCTTTGTAAGCAGTGGCTTGCTTTCCCCCAAGACATGGTTGTCATTTGGTCTAGAATACCAAAAAAACAGACACATAAAGATTTATGCATTTGGGGGATCCCCCCAAAATGGAGATAGAGTATGCTTTGTATAAAATTGAAGCAGAAATGTAAAGGAAGAAAGTATGCAACTCTTAAATAGCCTTAAGTTTAGTTCTTAACTGGTCACACAGAGAGTGTAAGTAGACTTCGGAGGATTTTGTTGGAATTCATAATTCTCATAAAAAGCTTCTTTACTAAGAAACAATTGAAATTTAAATTATGAGGTCTATAAAGGTTGAGATTGGCAAAGGGTCGTTTAATTTATAATTTAGAATAATAACGCTTGTACTCCATCCTGTAAATGGTGCGTGATCTGTTTCTAAGGAATCTTATCAAAGATGGATTTTTAAATACATTGTGTCTTTGCTATTGATCTTTAAATGATCACTGATTACAACAGTGCAGAAAGCAAGCTGCATTACTTTCCAGTCTAGTAACATAAGTAGCCACAGAAGGAAAAAGTAGAAATACGCATCCAAAAGGAACCCCTTAAAAAGTTGGTAGTAGAAAACAGCTGGTGGAGGCAGATGTGGCTCTTACCAATGAGCTACATCTGCCACCAGTGAGGTGGTTGACTTTCCTTGACCTGGGTAAGTCATAAGGCCAAGAGAGCTGTGAGGCTTGAGCCCTGTCAGGACCTATTAGACTACACTACTGCTCACAAGACTCTTGAGGTTGGTGTAAGATTATTGACATGCCTGACATAAGTCAGTACAGAGTTTAGTTCTGCCATGTCCATCTATGTGTATGTGTGAAACTTTGCTAATCTTGGTTTCTTAACCAAGAAATGCAGCTAAACTATAATACAGGAGAAGGTTTTACCTGTGAGAAACAGTCATCTAAATGCAACTAGGTTATCTTAACAGCTGTTGGAATTTGCAGTGTTTTACTTTGGTGGTGGCATTTAAAATTCAATGCTCTGAGTACATAGTGTAAGGTAAGGAGGAGGTGGGTGCAACATCTGGCTTAATGAATGTGACCTCTGTTGTCACCCCCTACGCCTCTGCCCTGCTCAGTCAATACAAACAAGTACCCTGGCCATTATTCCTTATCTGTCAGACCATTTCTACTAGCATTGGACAAAGTAGGGTCCCAAGCATTTACCAAAGTCCCAAGCTGTCCAGGTTTCCCCACCCCTTACACACACACACACACACACACACACACAACAGAGAGAGAAAGGATGTGATGAGGTTCTTACAGTAGTAGCCTCTTGAACTGGTTTCCTGTCACAATTAAGTTCTCAGTGTGGTATTTAGATGTTTCGGTGACAGTGAAAATTTTTTAAAAATAAAATAGTTGCAGTTTGAGGACTGTTGGTAATTAGTATAAATTAAACACTGATGTTCAAGTCTTGGGACTGGGCTGTTCTCAGTACCAGGTCATGAGTTGGGAGTGTGCTGATGGCTGAGAGAAATTTCCAAAGGTGCAAATGGTGTGATCCTTGGGAAGAGCTGCAGCCACAGGGCAGTAGGAAGAATGTGTAGCCATTCACCTAGAAGCGGGGGTATACATTCTTATTTCTTTGATGTTTTTGTTTTGAGGGGAATGGGTCTAGCCTCAAGTTTACTATGTAGCTGAAGGCTGCCCTTGAACTCCTGCCTCCACCTCTCAAGTGCTGGGATTACTGGCATGTGCTACCATGCTTGACTTTCCATTGTTCACATTTATTTTCTAGTACCAGGAGGTTTGATTTGGTTAAGACATGACTAGGGTTTTTATATCTGCTAACATTCCAGGTCCAGGACTCAATTAGGGTATAGCCATTTCTAGAAACTTTCCACTGAGTACTTACATTAGTTGCTGCTATGGCAGACAGACTGAGTAGGAATGACAGAAAATGGTTTTCTCATAGATCTAGGGGTTGAAAATCCAGGGTGAGGGTGCTAGCACAGTTAGGTTTTGGGGAGGGCTGTCTTCCTGGTTTGCATATAGCCATTGTTTCACTGTGCCCTCCTGCCAGAGAGAAAGCAGTCTGTTTTCTAGAAAGCTATAGTCTTAGGACCCCACTTAGTAAGACTTCATTTAACCTTATATTCTTTCTAAAGACTCTTATCTGCAGATACATATTGAGATGCAAATGATAAATTAGTGGCCTGTCGATGGCATTTGGTTCCTGCATTTTAAATCCTAGTTGGGATTTCTGGCAGTGCATTAGGAGAATGAGCGAATGTAGGCCAAGAGACAAGCAGGGAGATGGGGTTGAAGGAGTGGGATGGGGAATGTCTTTGAGTCCCAGCATAGCAGGAAAAAAGATGGTGGGTTTGGAGAGATGGCTGAACAGGTGGAGAGCTAAGAGAATTTGCTCTTGCAGAGGACCCAAGTTGTTTCCAGCACCCACATGGTGGTGGCTAACAACCCTCTAACTCCAGTTCCAGGATGCCCTTTTCTGGCTTCTGCGAGTACCGCACACACGTGGAGTACTACATGCAAGTAATACGCTTAAATGCATGCAGGCAAAATAATCATACATATAAAACACAAATTTAAAGTGGCCAGTTGTAAACTCTCTTGTGGCCATTGTACCTCTTGAGTCAGAGAATGGCCGTTTTAGAGAAGAGACAAGCTGAGAGACTGTTAAGGAGTTTGCTCAAGGCCAGATTAAAATTAGAACTGGGATTTCAGATTTGCATCCAGATAGCCCAGGGCCACCGGCTTAAGGGGCACACTGAATTTCTCCCATCAGAAGAGCTAGGGGTTCTGTGGCAGGTCATGTCTTCCTGGTTCAACCTTCACATGTCACAAGCACAGAAAGCTTCTCAAGAAGCTGAGAGTACTCTGTGACTGCAGATTGAAAACTGTTGTGATCTCAAGTGCTGCTGAGTTTTGGTGTCCCTGTCCAAGTTTTCCTCATAAATATGTGCTGTATTGTGCACAGTAGAGAAAATGGTCCTGGGCGGACATCTCAATGCATTCTGTCCTCTGGTGAAAGTAACAGGTCTTCATCAATAAGCAGATCCTAATTTCAAGTTAGGCCTCCCATGATCCTGGTCCTCATGTTAGCTTTAGGAAAAGCAGAACTCAGTGAGGCAGAATATGAAATAATGCCCTTTGCACTTAACTAAAAACTCACACACCATTCTGCCAGTTTACCATCTGCCATTGATTTATCATATGAACACGTGGTTTTGCTGCTCTCTACTAATTTGTCACTGGGGCGGGGGTGGGGGGTTGTGCTTACCCTACCTGTTGAGTTCAGGATTCTTTTTGACTTGGGTATTCCAGGATAATGTGAGTCTACAACTGCGAGCAGATTTTTGCTGCTTCTTTCAAGGGAATCGTGGTTGTTTTGCCTATAATGCTGCAAAGATTTACAAATGCGCTTTTAACGTGATTGTTGTTAATGGACATTTCAAGAATACTTTGTAAAGTAGCTTAGTTCTTAAGAGTTAGGAATCTGGCCTGTTTGGGAGCTGAGGGACACTGCCTCTCTGCTGTCTCTAGGTCACCTCCCAAGATCTTTAATACGTACAGGTGTGAGAGAGAAATGGGTTTCTTGAGCCCAGGGCTTTTTCCTGCCCCTCTTGTACATTTAGTAGGTCAGTTCAAATGAGCCTCCGGGAACTGTTTAGTGTCTATATTTAGAGGCCAGTTTTCTAATCAGTGGAGGAAGAAAACTGAAAGGTGAGAGAGAACTACAAGCAATAGATCCTATAATTGTCTTCTGTGTGCTTAGCTAAAGGCTTCATGAATACTCAAGTTCCTGTGAATCAGTGTACCAGAGAGCTTGTGCCAGGTCCTCAGGCACATGCTGAAATTCTGCCCATGCCTTCAAGTCCTCAAAAACATTCCTTCTACAGAGTGGGCCATCAGCAGCTCTGGCCGGAGTTCTCCCTGTTACAGTTGAATAGACTGGAGACCGTTGAGTGACTTCTGTAAGGTTCTGCCAGTGACTGAGCCGGGAACACATTTGGAAAGTTAAATTGGCCTGCTTTAACATGAACCAAGACTTAAAGCAACACGGTTGCGTGGAGAACAAAAGTGAAGAAAACAGTCCAGATTCCAGCCCTTCCCAGAAGCTCCGCTGTTGACATTTCTAGTGGAAAGAGGAACCACTTAACTACAGACTAATGAGTTGCCTGTCAGGGTACGAAGAGAAATGAAGTCCCACCGTCAGTTCATTGCAGCATCTTAGGGTACACGTGGGTGAAAACTACCATGCCCTAGAAGTACTGAGTACACTCTGCTCAGTATAAAAATGTGGTGTCTATACTGAGCTTAGTGGTGCTGTCGCACACAGCATCAAGACCTGGAGCGGGCTGGGTCATTTGCATTTGGCCAGTCTTTCTCTTTGAGTCTGCTCCTGCCACCCTGAGGTAGCTAAGGCCCAGAAGTACCATTCTTCAAATCATAGTGAACTGTACAAGGCAGAATGATGGAGAGACAGGCCCTCCTCAGGAAAGATTGAGCACACTGAAGCAGGGACAGTGGCCAGGTGAGCAAAGTCACAGAGGTTCCACTGTTGACAGTTGTTGGTTTGGTTCTTGAGTGATCTCAAGTTGGTGGGAGAATCTGCAGGGGAGGGAACAGAGGGTAGAGCCCATGCGACCACTGCAGGGAAGACTTTTTAGTTAGGTAGGCAGTTGGATCACAGGATCTGAGCTCAGTGTGAACTCAGCTGGGCAGACACTGGGAATCAGCCACCTATATAGATTTGGAGGGGGGGGGGGGGGGGTTTTGTTGAGAAAGGGTATCCCTGCACCCCCAGCTGGGCTGGAACTCACTTTTGAGACCAGGCTGGCCTTGAA